CTGAAGTAGAGTAGAAAAGCATTATCCATCCAGCCATCAAGTGGGACTGATTGGAGTCTTTGCCAGGCCGATTTTGGCCCCAGGGCCCTATGTTTGACACCCTAGATTTAAAGGTGTTTTTTTTTTTTTAGTTTTGCTTTAAATCCTGTCCTCTCTGGCAGCTTTTGCAGTCTGACTAGCCAAACACATTTTGCTTTTCCAAAAACAGTTATAAAAAAATCTCTGTAACCTCCTCTTATTCATGTGAATCTTTTATCTGTTTATTTATTCATTTCTATCTGTGTTATTTCAGTTATTGCATTAAAAAAAAATAAAAAATAAACATACAGCACATGGAATAAAAAATTAGAAAATACACAGACACATGAATCAACCATCTTCTTGTAGTGTGAGTGTAAATGTGACAGAGAGAGACTGTCTGTGTATGTGTCTTTGTCACAAACATCTTCTAATCTCTATTCAGAATCTGTAAGCAAAGGAGTCTTTACACACTGCTCTTTTGACTGCATTTATTCAGTATTCTCGTTCATATGTGTAGTCAGATTATAGAGGTTGATGCCTCAAATCTGTTTTCTCTGCGTTGACTGCAGAATGTTCTTGATGGTGGAGCGGATGCTGGTCGCAAACAGTTCATTTCCTTTCTTTGTGAAATGGACTCCGTCTGGTACAAAGATTGTGTTGTCGAAAAATTTCAAACAGGGATGTTCAATAATCACCCCTCCAAAGCAGTGGGCAGCCTTTCTCATGGTATGGTTGACAATCTCCCTGTCCTTATTGATCTTCCACGGACTTCCATACCTCCACACTTGGCGCTGATTGATGCAGGAATAAGCAATTGTCATTGAGGGGAACTCTTTGTGCAGTTGCATCAATTCCATCTTCATTATACCAGAAAGTTGCTGGGCAGACATGAGTCCTAAATCGTTTCCACCAGCGTGGATAATCAATATGTCAGGCGGGCTCCGTGTAGATAACTCTTCATAAAAACGTGGAAGGACGCCACTCCAGCCCATCCCTCCTTTGCCAAACCATTGGACTTTGGCATTAAGTCCCAAATTCTCTCCAAACTTCTGTCTTGCTCTGAACTCTCCTCTTTTGACGTAGCTTGAGCCAATGATCCAAATGTTTCTAACTTTCTGGTCTTCTGGCCTCTTTTTCTCCATCACTTTGCTTTCAGAGGATCTGGCATCATTCTGGAAACTCGAGGCTGTATCGTTCAATTTCTTGCCTTTGAGTCGGATCATCGTGATAGAGGCGCTTTTTGGGATGTTTGGTAGTGTCACAGCTGATTCATTCTTGTCTGTGTCTTTCTTCATCCTTTTTCTTTCTGAATTGCAGGCCTTAGTGATGCTTCTGCAGTTGGTTGAAATCTGACTGAAATTTCTTTTCAGTACAAATTTCTTTCCACAGATTCTGCGTTTTCCCCTTGCTGGGGAGGAGCCGTCAGCACTTCTGCTGCAATTTTGTGCAGCATCATGCTGGAATCGCTTTCTCTTTAGTGGGAGCTTGACAGGGTTTAAACCCAGCTGATCTTTCTCAGACACTGGCGACAGGTTTTGGCGCTGCATTCTTGTAAAAAGATGCTACACCACTTGGCTGGATCCAATGAATACAGCAACGGTTTTCCTGAAGCTTGTCATTGTATTCACAATGTTTCTTCCCCAAAAAATCTTCAAAATGCGATATTTAGACACTTAAACAACGAGCTCTGATTTTTGTTGTGCACTCACGAAGGAAGGGCAGTTAAATGACTGAAGCCTCTGCTCTATATGGGTAGTTCTGTTCCGTTGCGACATCATACACCTAGTAACTCTCAGCAGGCAGACTGCAGCTCTTTGATTTAACAGACAAACATTCTGCACAGTGAAGATGTTTTTATTTGATTTTTGTTTTTGTTTTTGAAGTTTATGGGATGTTTTAGAGAGAATTTTTGCTTTCCCATCAAAACACAAATAAATTCATATGAATACGTTTAAAGTATAAGTTTAAAGGCCCTGATGAATAATCACATGTAAACAGTGATTATTTACTCATATTGAGTTAACGGGCTTTTTTCCTCTCAAATATGTGATTATGGATGCTTATTTCATGTAATAACTAGACCATTTATAAATGTATGTACTTGCAGTGCAGTTTGATTGTTATATTGAAATCATATAAAGTTCTTGTGTTATTATTTTAGTTAAGGTTTACTTGAGTTTTGGTCTAGTTATGTTTCTTCTGTGTCTCCTTGTTTGTGTCTTTTGTGTGCCCCCTGTCTCCCCATGTATTTCATGTCTTCGTGTTGCATGTTCTATTTGTCAAGCTGGTGTTGTCTTGTCTACGTCCCTTTTCTCTTTCCTGTTTTATTGCGAAGAGTCTGGTGTTCCATGTTAAGTGTGTTTAGTTGTACTTCCCCTGTGGCGTTCAGGTTCATTTGTGTCAGCTGTTTTCCCCATTACCCTCCTGTGTATTTAAGTCCTCTTTCTCACTAATTCATTGTCGGTTCATCTGTTTTCCTCCCTCCACGTCACGTCAGCTTTCTCATAATCCTGTTCAGGTCCATGTACATGTTTCTTGTTTTCTTGCACCTGCTCAGATTGATGTTCATGTTTCTCTCGCACCTGTTCGCCTTGCTTTGTTTTTGTGTTCATGCTTTTTGAGCCAAATCAGCGGCTCGCTTTTTGTTTAAACTTCATTTCAGTCTCTCCCTTGTCTGCTTTTTGGGTCCACGCCACAAACACACCGACAACGTACTTCGCTTAATGTTTCAATTCAACAGGTTTTTCCTTGATAGGGTTGTGCAAGTTTTTTTCCAATTAAACATAAAAAAAGGCATCTATTGTTTCTACTATGAAGGAAAATACCACAAGATAGACTTTCTGAAGTATTATTTTCTTTGTCTGAAAAATCGAAGCCTGTTCTAAAGGTAATTAGCTAAATAAGCTCGCTGAGTATTCAGGTCACGCTCACAAATCAGTGAAAATGTTTTCTTTTTATCACCTCTCTCTGAAACAAACATTCAATGCTAGCCTCAGTGTGTGAATAAAGTACACAGGACTTAATGTGCTGACCAAGACAGTGCTGAAATTCTGATGTTAAGCATTACAACATTGAGGTTTTGCAGATCACATGACCACTAACCACTTAACGTTAAGTTGCCTGCCATTTTGGACATGTGACAAACATGATGACCATATAGGGTCAAATGAATACAGTCACACGGACCTTCTAATTCTATTGAATATTAGGATTCTCTGATATCACCTACTCCTGTTAAAGGGTATTTTATCATTGTTTCTGCAATACGAATATGTTACCCTAAATACACAAAATTATTGGTATTCAGTCCACTCCCACATTTTTGCAATACCGCCTTGAAATTCTTAGTAAAGCATTAGATTTTTATGTGAAAAGGATATTTCAGTTCCACACACCACACAGTCATAATTCAGCCTCTGTTTACTTCTGCTTGTGGTTGAAAAATAGGGATGACTACAAAATGACTAATGACAAAGACAACAGTCTTCCTGTTTCTGTCGTATTTAAGGCGACTGCACTCTACATGAATCAGAAGAGCTGCTGAGCTTTATACATCAGACTACTACTTTGCCTTTCTGTTCAGCACAAGTGTGTTTTTGGGCACAGTAGTTACTGAATATATTGATTTTCTTATAACCTGCCATTTCATTCCAATTTTGCTTTTGTTTTTCAACGTCTACTTTAATATCCAGGATGCTTTTCTCATGGATTACAGTAAAACAAAGCCTTAAGGATGTGGGTTTTCAAGCTGTGGATGTGTTCACCACTGGTAAAAGGGATGGATTCAGAAGAACAATCCTTCTCCTCCTCATTTGTAGCATCTCCAGCCTCCTGCTCAGCTCCCTGCTCCTCCTGTACCTCCTCTTCGCTCTGGACTATGAGCTAGCAGTGGCTGGGGGGATTGCCGCCTGCTTTGGGACACTGCTGACTGTTGCCCTCTTCCTATCAAAGAGAGTAAGGTGTTTAGGGACTCTTTTTATTATATCCATTTTCATGAAAAAGAGTAGGAACTTGCTGTTAACTGCTGGAACCAGTTTAGTGGTTCTTAAGAACATCCGTAACACTCTGGAGAACCTCTCGCTGCTGGTCAGGAGTATGATTTGCAACCTGAAGGCAAAAAAAGCCTCCATCATTGCTCCATTTACTAACTATGTTCAGATGTTGAAGTGGATTGGAGACATGCTCAAAGGGGTTACAAACCTGGGAGTAGTGAGATTTGACTCCCAGCTCAACGTCTCTCCAAGATTGGAATCAGAAGAATTCAGGCAGAGGCTCGCAGGAGCAGAGCAGAAGCTTAACGAGACTGTGAAATATGCACAGGCCCTGATGAATACAGTGAGCTCAGTGACCGACAGGATGTTTCCTGCCATCAGCTTCCTCGTGCTCATGATGTTTATAGCATTGCACATAAAAAAATACTGCAGAGACCTGAAATACAAAAACAGGTTCATCAGCAGCAAGTTTGTTCATTTTGACGAGAAGCAGAAGGCGGAAGGAAAATCCCACGTCCTTCCCCTCACGGCAGAGGAGGAGCAGCTGTACACCTTCATTCCCTCCGCCCGTCCCACAACAAGAGAAGGGAAAGCTATGGTGAAATTTGGAATTCCAGTTGTCTCCCATTTCATAGCTTGGGTCATATTCATAACTGTGGACGCCTTGCTGTACTGTTTTGTTGACATTGTTACAACAAGGTTATCAGAGCTGGAGCCATTCCACATCCCTTTGTTAATGAGCATCAAAGTAAGTACACCGTAGTAAATATTTATTTATTTATTAAATATTTTCCTCATCTCAACCACAAAAGACTCACTTGTTTATCCTTGCAGGGGATTGCAACTTTAATGGGAATGTCTCTTGGACAAGAAAGTCATGAAAAAGACTTTTCCTACTCTGTGACTCTGTTTGAGAAGCAGTGCCTCCCCAAACCCAAGTTGTTGCTATATAGTTCTGTAATTCCACTGACTGCCATCCTGCTCACCCTGCTTGTTATGGCTCTGATGGCAACCAAAGTCTCCCAGCTAAGGTTGATGGTCTGTGAACAGTTCTTCCCCTCTGCTGCAGAGGAGAGAGTGGAGTACCTCCACGGCAAAATCCTGAGGAAGAGATTCAAAATGAGAAAGGAGAAAAACAACTGCAGCCTCAGGTCACTTATTACCAAGGTGCATGTTAACATATTGCTTGAGAATAACTATTGCAAGCCAAAAAAAAAAAAAAGCCAAATCTCTAATTATGTAGTTTTTCTGTTCTTCTTCATCAGCCATATTTCTGGTTCCCGCTACTGTTTCATTCTAAAGAGGATCCACAAAGTATCCTGTGAGGAAAATCTTCTCCACACAGACACTCTAGTGATGGCAGTGCTAGTCCTGGTGCAGACTGACAGATCAACATGGATGGTCCGTGGATCTCGCGGAGAGAAATATCAGCCTTATACTTTAGTCTGTCAATGAGAACTTCTGAACCAAAGTCTCTATTTTTGCCTTGTGCGGTTAAACACTACAGTATATTGCATGTTACATCAGTGCACCTACAAAAAGAGCACCTTCCACGTATGTCTGACATTCAACCGTTTTTGATAAAACATCATTATCTGGCACAATGAGAATGTATTGGTATCTTGCACCATGGCGGTGTGGAGATCCAACAATATTTATTTATTATAATAATTATATTATTAGTTTCCTTTAGTTTTTTAGAGGGAGACCATTCTACTTAAGCCCATTCTCTGCATACAAAAGTAAATCTCTGTTATTCTTTTTTTTCCCTGTCCTGTCCGGCACTGTAGCACTTAGAATTATTGTCTGAAGGCCAAGAAAAATGCCCAGCAGATTTGTTTTCCCAAGTGGATCATTACGGCTTTACCATACTGGTCCACTTGACTGATCTTTATTTATTTATTTATTTAAAGTTTTAAGTTATTACAGTTGGAACAGACATGACCGGGGGATAAGAAAGGGAAAGACGCAGACAGGAGAAGTTCAAGAAAAGGAGAGGGAAAGATTAACAGAGGGGAAGAGAGACAGTGAGAAAAGACACTACACATCTGCTAAAAGAAGAAAACAAGCAGAACGAGAACAACCTCCTCATCAGCTGAAGAGGCCCCCAGTTCCATCGATGCACCAGAGGCCCCCCGCACCAGGGTTGGGCCTCCGTGCATGCACCCACCCACAACCTCGGTGACACACCAACCAGGACCCAAGCCCCAAAAGCCCAGCCAGAGCCCCAGCCCGGAGGCAGAGCACGCCTAAAACCCCAAGTCCACTCTGGACCCACCCAGAGTTCAGCTAGACTACCAGGTCGGTAACCTTCGTCCGCCAGCACAGACCCTCCTCTAGCCCTGCTGCGGGCAACCACCAGGAAAACATCACCCAAGAGCCACAGATCCCCATTCAGTTCAGTACCACAGCCCCCAGGTTGAGTCCCCCAAGAATCCCCAGACACCCCAAGCCTGTACCTACCCCCACATCAAGCGCAATAATGAAGGCGGGAAGACTAATATGATCTTTCAGACAGTCTCTATAATGGTTAGAATTAGGATTATTTTTATTTTTCCAGTTCATGAAGACAGTTATCTTGGCAATGCATACATTGGTGAGAACCATGTGGGCTGTATTCATCTATGTAGTGACGTCATCCAAGATGCCCAACAAGCGGACTAGAGGGAAGGCTGGAATCAGTGGCGGTCCTAGCCTGTTTGGCACCCTGGGCGAACACTCCCTCTGGCCGTTCCCCCACCATGATGCTGCCCCGGGTAACCGCCCAAGTCGCCCGTATCAAAAACCGCTACTGGCTGGAATGTTACATTTCAGATACTTTGATAAGTCTTCACATATCCAGCACCAAACTCTCTGCACTGGTGGAAAGAACCAAACTGCAGTTGTTAGAAGACATAAAGCCTATCTTGAATATCCGTTGACCTGTATAGTGCACTCTATGTAGTATTTTGTATTGTATTTTGGTCTAAGATCACTGATAAATCCGCTTCCCATTTTGGAAAAGGATATTGATTCATCTATTTTGGAGAGTGTCCAGTATATTTTAGACAGTAATTTGGGGTTTTAAGATTAAGAAATTGTACCACAATCAATTTGTTGATATTCTAAAAATATTTTCTTGTTAATCCCATACTGTACAACTAGTCTGTCAAATTGAATAAAGTCCTCCTTCTAATATATATTCCAAGGATTTAATTCCTTTACGACTCCAATCTGGGAGGTTAATCATATTATTTTTCTGTAGTATGTCAGTTTTGTTCCAGATAGGTGTACATTTGCGTGGGATTAATGAAGACTCAGTCATTTTAAGAAACTCCCATCGTGCTGTCAGAGAAGAGAAACATACATGTAGTTTGGTGTTTGAGCTGATAAATGGTAGGTCCGAAATCTCTATATTATTGCATAGAGCCTGTTCTACATCTAGCCAGGGTGCATCTAAGAGTGATGTTTTAACCATCCCCAGTGTTGGTAATGGTACTTTTAAAATGTCTTCCACTACAGATTACAGAATACATGCCCCAAAATGTAGTTTGTAACATATTCCGTTAAGTTACTCTGAATACTTTGATTACTTACTATATTGTCATGCTTTTTACAACTACATGAATGCACTTTTGCTGTGTGATTTATTAATATTACTGAAGGCTACTCGCCATACCAAAACCACCTAGATTTTTAAATCCTAATATAAAATCAGTGCCAGTAGGGTGGACATTAGGTGAGGATGCACTTTTTGCAGCGATCTCATATAGAAAACTTTCAGTGTATGTTATTTCAAAATACATCATAATACATTTCTCTTCAATTGTTTTATATTATATTTAACATTTATCAGAATAAATATGTACTCTTTGCGCCCCAGTTCTCACCTGTAATCCACCACCTACTGTGTCATTATTATTCAGAAAACTAGAGCAGTATACTACGATTTATGGCATCACGTGACAGCTCAGTCTACTAATTGATGATTGTGGTAACCGTGGAGCAATTAAAGACCATAAGCTAAGAGGTATTACCTTGATTCAACAGAGCTGCAATGAGCTCTCAGCAATAGGAAATACATTACTTACCTATTACATCATGTTCATTATATAACATGACAGAGGAAGAATTTTATTATGAATCAACCGCAAACTATGATCATTTTGCCACTATCAGTTGTGATGGTTGCAGTCATTCCTGCTATGAATAAACACCTAATTATGTTTGTTACATAAAATATAAAATAAAGAAACCGCAGTTATAACCTCACAGGCTTCTGCATTTTACCTCTGTGCAGAATGTAGAACAGCGATATTTGCTTACATAATCTAAGACAGATGTCATTTGCATGTGCAGTGAGCAGCACTGTCCTCTTCCTACTTATGCACTGTCAACGTTCATTAGCATCATGCAGGTGCTGTTTCTTCACTCAGCATAGGGACAGGTCACAGCCTACTGACTTTATAATGCAGACTGTGACAGGTGAGAAATGCAGTGATGTGTGAATAGGGAAAGGTCAAAACTGCTATTAATGTGTATTCCTCAGGGTAGTGTAGCCCAGGTAAATACTATTCGTTTATTACTGTCTTATTGGTATATACACAGTTTTGAGAAATCCCTTAGGCTGTGTTTGTTCATTATGCATTAATATTTTGCACAAAAAAAAAAAAAACTTCCTTTATTTAACAGCTTATGACAGATGTTTTAAGTAGTAGATATCCTATACTATACACTACATGCTCAGTATATTTACTATCATTCTGCGTACTTAAATACTTAGTGGTACACACACGCTACTTAGTAGTATGCTTAAATCATATCACTCAGGCGTCACCACTGGCTCAGCCTTGTAGGATTGAGGAAAGTCATGATTAATATATTTACTTAATATATAATTCCTGGCAAAGTGAGAACATATGCTTAGCGGCCACTACATTAGGTATACCTTGCAAAGATGCCCTTTTACCTTTAGAAATACCTTCATTCCTCACGGCACAGACTCAACAAAGTGCTGGAAACATTCCACAGAGATTTTGCTCCATATTAACATGACAGGATCTTGCCGTTGCTTAAGATTTGTCAGCTGCACATCAGTGATGCAAAGCTTCGGTTCCACCACTTCCCAAAGGTGCTCTTTTGGCCTGAGATCTGGTGACTATGCAGGCCATTTATGTACAGTGAACTCACTGTCATTTTCAAGACACCGGGGTGAGATTGTTTCAGCCTCATGACATGGCACATATCAGGCTGGAACCAGCCATAAGAATGGTGTTACACTGGTATCCAACCAATAGCCATTTGGTTGTAACGAGTGGTTATTTGAGTAAGTCATTTGAAAGGTCTTTCTTCACCATTCTGATTCTCAGCTTGAAGTTCAGAATACTAGAATAATAGATACTTTGAGTTACTCCCATACTTTGGTTAGTTAAGTATACCTCTTCAACTGCAGGTTAAACATTTTCGTTGCTGTTACAGTTAGCAAGACTAATTGATATCACCATGTTTGGCAAAACCTGATTCTTAGAAATACTGTGATCACTTAAAAAGTGTAAATATTTAGTATGAATCACTTCCTCTGTGTTTAAAGCTTGAAAACTCAAGTTATAATTATAATTTTTGCGTTAATTTGTATTCAAATGGAGCCAGGTCACCATTTTAAATAGGCTCACCATTCACTGTACAATACCCCACCATCCCCCAACTATCCTTTGCACCGTTTAAGAAAAGAGGAAAGAAGCATTCTTGCTTGAGGATGAGTAGGCATTCTGTGACTCACACACTACCACTGACCCGTGTGGCAACCTGATAAGCTCACACTATGTCTCAACTGGCCCTGTGGCATAATAACATGCCAGCATGCCCACCCCAGTGGGAAGCTGCCACATGATGCTCGATGACAGCCGCAGACCTTTTTTACCACGAGCAGGAATGAATGCAGTCCATACATGGGCATAGATGGAGTGTATAATGATGTGTGAGCCTGCTGAATATGCAAACACAGAGTCCGTCTGGGTCAGCGGAGTAAATCTTATTACTGCATGCATGTCAGTGTATTTTAATGAATATTTCATCAAAGGGAAAGGATGCTTTTGGGTGAGAGACAGTTCTGTTACCAGTGGCAACTGGCCTTTTAGAAGATGGGGTAAAAAATGCAAAAACATGCTGTGAAGAAGAAAACTCAGGCATAATTACACACAACTATAAATGTTGATTTACTATTGTTTTAGAGCACAGAACACAATATACAGTGAAATTGGGTTTTTCTATTTAGAGACTTTTCATTTACTAACCAGGAACTCATGCATAAACCTGATTTGCATTTCTTATGGTGAGTTGCGTTATTACATAATGGTGTTAGTAACAAATGTATAGTTTGCAGCAGCAGAGTTGGTTTTTGTGAGCTGTGTACTGAACAGAGCTGGCTGCAGATACAGCTGTATGTGACTCAGTTTCCTCTTCCAGCGGAGCATTGACTCAGGCAGAAATTCAACATGTTATAACCCTCATATGCTTGAAATGCAAAAAGCTACTCCAATGAAGGTCGTCTTTGAGAAAACACTTGTTGTTTGTGCAATGGGTAGCTTCTGGGTTGTACTGTTGGAGATTTAAGGTGCCCTTTAAGTTCCCAGGTATATGTTCAGACAGAAATGACTTTGCCTTCATATGGCTTTCTGGTCACAGCTGTAGGTTTCCTCACCTGCAGGTCAAATACAAAGCAGACAGAAACATTAGGTCATCCTGTGCGTGGTACCTACTCCCAGTCTGGTTGCTTCAAGTTCATAATTCTGAATTAACTACGAAAAGTGTTTTTACAGCTAAGCAGTCCTGCCAATGTATGTCCTCTGTGCAATTCATGATCTTCATTTGGAATAGACACAGGAAAATATCAGTTTTAGCAAATATCAGAAGTAGACTGAGTCAAAATCACACCCCGGTGTCCTGAGTGTGTAGTCTCCTGTATAGTTCATCTTATTGAGATATACTTATTTGCAATATTCTGGGTAATTAAATCCAAATTTATATGCTTACAGCATATATGACGCTACAACCAGCATCCAGTTTGCTTACCTCAACTGACCATAAATAGTAAATAAAAGAGGGAACAGTTAGGCTAAAGGCTTTTACACACCAGATGTGTAAAAATGGTGTGAATGTTTTGTGTGTTAAAGATATTTTTCAGACTCACCTATGAAAGCTATCGTGATACAGCCTGAACTCTTGGCCCAAACCCTGAAATTGTCCCTGATGCTGCCCTCTCACGAGAACTGGATGAACCCAGAATCTCTGTTTCAGGACCAGCTAATCATCGCTTGATGTCAACTTGATTTTTTTGAGTGCATTTTTTAAGAGCAATTTTTTCTTTGCAAAATCGCAACACTTTTGTATAAGTATGTGTATACATTACCCATTAAGTTCACATCCAAAAAATGTGGAACTTCAGTGACACTTCTGACGCTAAGGCTTTACTAACCTGCTCCCGCTGCTTGATTCGTTTGTAAACAAACTCAGAAAACGGTTTTCTGTGGATGAACTGGCCATGTCCTGGTGACACCTTCAGCTGCCCATCCTCATACACCACTTTGCCTCTGGAGATGGTAATGACAGGTACCCCATGACACTCCATACCCTCAAAGATGTTGTAGTCCACAGCCTGGTGATGAGTCTTGGCTGATATTTTCCTACATAAAGACACATTGGCGGCTTTAAAGAAACAGTCAGTGGAGGCTTTTTATGAGCTAAACTCATTGGTCACATGTAGCCTGCGTTAGATAATTGCTCGATGCTTTCTGAATACCAAAGAAAAGGATAAATCTATTGTGAAAACTTAATGCAGTCCATCCTCATCTGAAACTGATTGAATCAGGCCAAGATGTACTTGCAGTTTGTTCACTGTGCAGCAGTAATATAATGTATTATTCAAAACTTTTGCTCATGTGAGGCTCTTAAAGGCTTACTAAGCACATACACTAAGCTTCTTTCAGACAATAAAAAGGCACCTCAACATTTTCACTGCTGCCTATTACATTATTGTGGCATCTATCCAAAGGCTGCTGTGTGAGCACGGCCACATAATATTGCAGCATAGCCAGTATCCAGATATAAAAAAAGACTGTGCAAGCTGGAGCCTGATGGGAAATACGAACAAAGAAACACAAGAGCGGCAACATTTTTCAGTTCTCAGCAAAATAAATTTAGGATAGCTGTGATGGAGTTTAGTAGCAGAAATTATTAAAGTAATTTAAATGGTGTACAATGACAATGTTGGTGTTAAATGTACACATGTCGAACTTTGAAACAGATGGCCTACAGCAACAGAAGACCATATTGGGTGCCGGGCCTGTGAGCTAAAGACAGGAAACTGAGGCTTTAGTTCACACGGGATTGCCTGGTTTGATTTATAAAGAAATTGTAGAATTTCTTCGTTTGTTAGGTTTTAGTTTCTGGATTAAAATGTGAAAAAGGTTCAAGCAACAGCTGAACAGGTGTATCTGATCAGCCAAACACATGAGAGTCACCCAGTGTATTTAGGCATGTTGACAAACGTCTGAATTTCTGATGTATACAGCATCAAATTAATGGGAGTTAATGTGAATTTGTGGCTGTATTATCAGACAGATTCCATGTAATTACTAGCTTGACCACATTCAATCAAAAACTGAAACCAAAGTTGGAATTGACTGGACCAACAAACAAAAATATAAGAGAAAGAGAGGAGTGGGCAATCTGCAGAAAATGATTGATCACAGCAGCTTTAAGTTACAACATGTATATTTGCACAACTACGTGAAGTAAGTTGATTAGGACTGTAGAAGATATCTTCATAATAAAAGTATGAAATGCTCTGCAGAGTACAAACTGATGATGTCGAACAAATAAATCACATTTGAGTGAAAAACCAAGTCAGCAGGGAACAGCAAAGTAAGTGTGACTCAGCTGCTTCCATGAAATGCACCGGATGTCTTTCTTTCTTTCTTTTTTCATTGACCCCTTTTACTCTCCATTCACAAACATGTTTCCTGTGGCTTTGTGAAGCCAGACACCATGCCTAGTGTGCACTGACGAAAACAAGATGTGTCCTCATTATTCAGCTCACCCAATTATGAGAAACAAGTCAACTGAGTGAGCTTCCTAGGGATTTGGGTTTTTTCGTGGGGGGGAGGCGGTTATGCAACTGTTTGTGGCCCCTGGTCCCGGATGTTATGAAGTGACACTTGTGCTGACGGCAAATTAATTACACAGTTTCACAGATGAATTCACTGTGCAGCAATCAAATACAATGCGCTCTCATGCTTGAAAGGCATTATGACTTCCACAGACATGCGCATGTGGTAAAGACACAACTTAAATGGACAGCATAGCAAACAGGTGATGTCCAGGAGTGACAGGTCTGAGAGGGAAGACATACTGGAAAGCACCTCATAGTAACAACTGTGGAGTTTATTGGTCCTGACATAATCTTTTTTTGTTGTTTTTGTATTATTATCAGTAAATTCATTTACAGAGAATTACATTGGGGTTTAATATGCTCTTCATCAACTCACATCCACAGTGGGTTAGATCCCTGAGGGATGCAGCCCAGATCCTTCAGCAAACAGAGCGGTGCATTGCTATTTCCAGGTTATATAAGATTGTGCTACAGTACACATGATGCTGGAATGTAAACTGTCTTCGTTTGTGCTTGTGCTTCACACAACAGCTCAAATAGTACAACACAATCACATGACCAGTTTTGCGATATTCTGAGCACATTCCTGAAAGCAGCCATAACGCCGTGTATTCTGCACGAAGGAAATTGGTTTAGCTCCCACATGAAATAATCGTCAGTTTCAAAATTCTCACCATGACCCATCAGCATCGTCTCACTCGTGCCTTGTAGATGGAGCTTATGTAAGTGTGTTAAAATCTTTTCCTAAAAATATAAAATTACCAAACATAGCAAAAAGGGAACCATTTCAATATTTTTTTAATAGAGAGATGAATTTCATTCATATGTAAATTGTGTTATGCTTTAATTTGCAGCTATAGATAAGTGATGACATACACCGACTTTTGGATGGAGCATAGACGTAATCAGCTTATGTGGAGGGTTAGTGAGTGCGTTAGTGTTGACGTGGCACAGGATGAAAGATATAGCTCTTCTCTTTTTAGGTGCCTGTATCTGTCGCCTACATGCTTTACAGCTAAACTTAAAAACCTTATCTTAGTTAGTGAAGTGCCTGACAACCTTAAGACACGCTCTCAAGTGTGCCAAATGGTTCAGCATCACCGTGTGATGGAGCTCTGATGGAGCTCTGATGGAGACAGTGGCGACGTTACCATTTTTAACATCAGGATTTGCATTCATCATGCACTTTTAAAACTACGTACATTAGCTGACTTTCTTTCACTGCTCGATTTCTAAAAATTTCTTCCACACTGCTGAATGACCTGAGCTGGAGTTCTCACCTGGTCATCCTTGGGTCCCATATAACCACATCAGCATCCGAGTTCTTGGCGATTCGGCCTTTCTGCGGGTAGAAGTTGAAGATTTTTGCTGCGTTGCTGCTGGTGACAGCCACAAATCGGTTCTCGTCCATTTTGCCACTATGCTGAGGGGAGGAGAAAATGCACAAAGCACCCAGTTTGAGTTAGGGGGCCACACTGGACGACAACAATACACAGAATTAGCAGACAAAAGGTCAGTGCAAGCAACTCATTTCTGCCAAAATATCATCTAATGTGTGATTTGTAAGCACTGTTGCACAAAGTAAATCTTTCCAGTGGCCTTGGGAGAGCTGAGCTGATACACAGTCCCCACAACAATGGCCAGAAAATGCAGTGCTTGCAATCGTGCAGCCATCTGCAGCTCTGGGAGTTTATTGTGTGTTGCAGGAAAAAAGAAATACGCATATCATCCAAATAATTGTGAGAAAAGTAGAATTATTAATATTTGATAGTAAAAACAGTCACCCAGCATTAAACATCATGGCACGATGTCATGAATGCAAATGTGCCGGTACAGAGTCAAAAATGTGTATTTTCTACTTTTTGTTATGCGAACATTAACCACATGGCATCTTTAAAACTTGTTGTCAAGAAACCGTTGCTTTAAAAAAAAGAGAACTAAAAAAGTGAGTATATCCTTAGTACTAACCACTCCTTTTTCCCAGATGACAGACATTCTGTCCTCGACACCGTTCACACCGTTAGGGATCTTGGTGAAGTCGTCCTTGCCCAGGGCTTTCTGGCACACAGAGAAGGTGCAGTTGTCCGTCCCTGTCACACTTAAGTCATCACTGGCACAATGAACAGAAGGAAAATGATTGTTATGTCCAAACTGATGATGGAATAACCTAAAAAATGTATCAGTAACCTTGAGGGTCACTTTGGTCAATTCTAAATCCTCATTGCCAAAAAAGTTGCGACAGCATGTCAAATTATCAAATCTTATAAATTTATTCATTTTATTCACAATAGAATATAGAAAGCTCATCAAATTCTTAAACTGAGGCATTTTTACTATTTCATGGAAAATATTAGTTCATTTTGAGCTAATTTGGAACTAACATATTTTGCAACTAATTAAGTTAATTGACAAAAGTCAATAATGAGACGGTATAGAAAGAGCATCTTAGAGAGGCTGAGTTTCTCATTAGTAAAGATGGGCAGAGGTTCACCAATCTGGAAAAAAAAAACTGTACGAATTGTGGAACAATTTGTGAATAATTTTTCTTAACATAAAATTGCTAAAGCTTTGAATATTTCATCATCTACAGAAAAAAACTAAAAGATTCTGAGAATCTGGAGAAATCTCAGTGCACAATCGATAAGGCTCAAAATTAATATTAGTTGTCCCTGATCAGCCTTCAGACTGAATGATTCAGTCATAGGAATAGCTGCACAGCCTCAGAAACACTTCCAGAAATCACTGTTGTTAACACAGTTTGTCGTACCATTCAAACTTGCAAGTGAAAGTTCTGTCATGCAAAGATGTCATATGTGAACATGATCCTAAAATCGCCACCTTCTTTAAATCCAACAGACGTGGTATTCAATGTCTGTGCTGCAAATATTGCTCTTTGTGCCTCTATCATTTTAAAGATATTAATAAGTTTCTCAAAGGTCAATTTGGTTGACCTTGGATGAACAATTTGACCAAACAATTTTTGGGCTATTTTTATCAAATGGAACAATGACAGATACAAACTATGTATTTTTTAAGCTGTTTAGGGTTTGATGCTCCAACCTGAGGCCTGCTGGACCTAACTCGTCAACAGAACCTCTGATTCAGGTCCAACTAATACGCACCAAGTGGCATGCTTAAAGTTCTTCAGAAATGTTCTTTTATTAATATTTTTAAAATGATAGCAGCACAAACAAACACCGTAGCTGCAAAAAACCAGCAAACACATCGTACAGTTGATCCAGATACATTTTGTCTGATTCGGATAAATCTGTATTAGCTGATTCTGAGTGGGATCACATGGGATTCTGAACTTCTATACTCCCATAGCCTAAAAAATCTGTAGCTGTAGCCAAAATACAAACCGAACTGAATTTCAATTCAACTCAGTTTCATTTATATAGCACCAAATCCCAACAACAGTTGCTTCAAGGCGCTTTATATAAGTAAAGACCCTACAACAATAGAAAAAGAATTCCAACCATCAGACTGTACCCTATGAGAAACCACTTAGTGAAGGTGGGAAGGAAAAACTCCCTTTTAACAGGAATAAACCTCCAGCAGAACCGGGCCCAGGGAGGGGCAGCCATCTGTCACGACTGGTTGGGGGTGCAGGGAGAGAGACAGGAAAAAACACACACTGCACTGAATAAAAACCACCAGCAAGCAATATTGCTGGACTTTCAGTTCTACCTACTTAGCTAGTAGGTCCATAAGGTACCCAGGTGTGCTGGGGTCAGGTCGAAGCGGAGGACCCATGACAAAACCAGCAGCATGGGCCCAGTCTTTGTGCCAATACTGGGTACCATCAGTGCCCAAACCAGCTGCAATTGGCTCCCCAAACACTACACGCCCTGTTCAGAAAGAAAGAAAGAAAAAACCCGTGTCGGATGTTTACTAAAACCGAGTATACTTTATCTGCTTGAGAGCAATCAGAAACCTCATGCTGAGATAAAATTCTCAGTGGCTTTTTTTTGCCACGGCAACAAAAAACAAAATGAGCAAACACTGTATAACTCAATATTTGACTAAAACATAAAACAAGGAAAACTGAAACCAGTTTTGAAGCTCATCAGCTCTCAGCCTCACCCTCTTTAAACAGCAGGTGGGAGGAGTCCACACTCACCATCTCTGCGTGCGTTAGACACAACCTTGGCGGCAGATTTACTCATGACATGAACCACATAGAGCGGGCAGTTGACAGCATGGGCGATGGTGATAGCTCGCTGGGTGGCTTCGGCCTCCACCTCTTCTGGCCGACACAGTTCATGGCCCTCTGGTCCTGTGATGCCCATGGACAGCATCTTCTTAGCCCCCTGTCAGTTCACAGCAGGGACAACAAGTCAGGATTAAAGGTTAAAGGAGATGGAAGGTTAACACGGCACGGTGTCACTTCAAGGCAGAGACCAGACAGTCAGATTTATACTTGATGAATCTATATTGATTCGATTGAATTAAAATTTGCTACTATGAATAACAACATGTGAGTGCCTTACTGTAGTGCTGGCAAGACATTTAACACACTTCCAAGCAGCAATAATACAGTATTCATGTTGCTCTGAGCAACAACAGAGTCACATGAGTAGTTGTTGAGTATTTGCTACCCCCTGGTGGTAGTTTTTTGCCATGACACTTGTAAAAAATGCTGGAAAATGCACATAAGAAATAACAGATCTTTCTCATAGTGGGGATTTTGACTGTCTGAATGTAGCTGCAGTTCTGTCTAATATTAATAGAAATTACATCATTAATTTCCAATTCATGTCAATTCAGTAAGCCACCATGACTATTCCTATCCCTCTGAAACTTAAACACCTTAACTGAATATATGCTTATCCTGACATAACTTGTCAAAATATCTGTGGGGAAGGTTTCTGGTGACAGATAATGACAGATTTCATCTTTTTTCCTTGGCTTTGCTCCAACATCGCGTGTCACGGGGCTTTCAACCAACCTTCTTCATCTTCTTCTTTCAGGGGTAACAGCGGACCATCTGCCTCCATCCCAACATATCCCTATCCTCTACTGTCAAACCAGTCCTCTGAATGTCTTCCTTTACTACACCCATAAACCTAAAAAGAGGTCTTCCTCTTTCCCTCCTGCCTGGTAGCTCCACAAAGTTCCAGTATATCCACTATCCCTCCTCAGCGCGTGTCCAAACCATCTCAGACCTGTCTCTCTATCTTTGTCTCCAAACTGCTCAACCTGAGCTGTCGCTCTGATGTACTCGTTTCTAATCTTGTCCTTTCGGGTCACTGCCAATGAAAATCTTCAACCCTGCACACCTCCGGCTCAACCTCGTGTCTTTTTGTTAGCTTTACCTTCTTCAAACCATACATCATAGCAGGTCTCACTACCATCTTGTAAACCTTCCCTTTCACTCATGCTTCTGTCCTTCTGTCATAAATTATCACTGACATTCATCTTAATCTCTTCCTTACTTCTCGTGCCATTGCATTGAATCGCTGACCGTCCATAGACTCATCTTGTCTTCACTACCACGACTCCTTGGATGTTCACCTTTCCACCTGTCTCCCTCTCATTCACACAAATGTAATGTGTGTTGCTTCTACTAACTTTTAATACTTTTCCAGGACATACCTACTACATGCTCACTATAGATCACAATGTTGTCTGCAAACATCATAGTCTAGACATAGACTCCTGGCTGACCTCATCTGTCAGTCTATCCATCACCACTGCAAACAAGAAGGGGCTCAGAGCCCATCCCTGACTTAATCCCACCGCCACCTTGAACATTTCTGTCACTGCACTTCCACCACTATTTCCCTGTCCTCATACATGTCCTGCACAACTCTCACATGCTTCTCTGCCGCTCCTGTCTTCCTCGTTCAGCACCACAGTTCCTCTCTGTTCCTCACAGCCACAGTGTTTGTTATTCTTTGGACACAAAGTGAAGCTTAGCTGCCATCAGGGTGAAACATTAACTTAGCATTCCTTCTGGGCTCTGGTGTGTTTATACTCTGACACTGATTACCTGAGCTGCACTTACAAAACCTTCACTGACAGAAAATCAAAAACAGCATATAGGCTTGTGTTGTTATGACACAGGGGTTTGTTCAGCTTTAGTATCTCACCACGCTTAGGCTATTTCATTTCTCAAGTTAAACTCTTGATATTTTACAAAAAAAATAACCATATTACTTAAGTTTGGAATGTCAAATATCAGATCTACTTTACTATTAGCAACTTTTTCCCCCTGTACAGTATAGGCAATAAGTAGCTGTAAGAAAAAAACAAAAATTGTAGCTCATTAATACAAGCAACTTCTTTTTCAAAATCTGTTTTCATTTGTTTCGTATGGTTCACACCAACCTCTGCAATCAAATCTCCATTCTCAGCATGAACCTGAGCTATGGCTCCGACCTCCTTACACTGAGCAAAAGCAGCATATAGCTCAGAATCCTGCAGCATAAACACATCTTTATAGGCCATAAACATCTTGAAGGAATTTACTCCTTTCTCTCTGGCCAGAGTCTCCATCTCTTTCTTGACCTAAAAGAGAAAAGTGATTGTAATAAGGGAGACATGTATGGAGCTCTGGGGAAAGGGGGGCAGCAATATTTGGACTGGGCAAACCTACTTGACCTAGTGTCATTAGTTTTAGTGTCTAGACAGTAAATACTAGTAGTCTACTAAAACAAAAGGATTCACTCTTATTCACCTTGTCACTCCACCATGTGACCGCAACGTGCAACGAGTAGTCGCAGCAAACTTTGGGATCAGCCGTCTCACGCCATCGGTCATGAGCCTCCAGAAGAGACTTGCCCTTCTGGGGGATGACAAAGTCCAGGATCATTGTGGTCCCTCCTGCCAGAGCAGCCTGGTGAAATGCACACATTACCACAGAGAAGTAAGTAAATGATTAACCTGTGAAGTAGAAAATGCTGGATATAAAAGTGATTTGAGTGTGGCTACTAGTCCAGATGTTAAAAACAATCATCTTTGTGAATGGTGCCTGAACAAACAATGATTGACAGATTTCTTATTGTCACTCCCATTAAAATAACACCTGATACTAATGTTGAGAAGTCGTGGGCATCAGCGTAACAATGACCTCTGATCTGTTTTTGTCCTGCAGATGAATTCTTTGCGGGATCAAGAAGATTTGGAGCCACATAAATGAAACTGAATCAAACTGCATTGAGAAGAAGGCTAACTCTGACAACAGAGTTACCCCCACAGTTAAGAAAAACAACTTCCCAACATCTAACCAACGTCTCGAGGAGGTAGATATATCAGTGTCAAAGAATACAATCAAGAGAGGAATGGAGTCATGATGGGAAGAGAAAACTGTGGAGAAGGAGAGAAACAGCTCATGATCCAAAGCACACCTCACCATCTGCCAAACATGGTGGAGGCAATATTATTGCATAGGTATGTACGGCTGCCAGTGGAACTAGTCACAGTGTTTATTGATTTGTGTTTTTGTGACTGCTGATAGAAGCAGCAGGATGAATTCTGAAGCGTTCAGGGCTATAATCTCTGATCAGATTCAACCAAATGTTGCAAAATGGATTTGCACTTCCCACTGCTCGAGGTAAAGGAAGGGGATGTTCTTCAGTGGCTAAATCAGTCACCTGATATCAACCCAACAGAGCATACTTTTCAGTTATTAAACACAAAACTGAAAGTAGAGAGAGACACACAAACAACCGAACTTGACTGCAGTAAAGGCCTGGCAGAGCATCTCAAGAGAGGAAACACAGCATTCAGTGATTTCCACAGCTTCTAGACTTCAGGCAGTCACTGACTTAAGGATTTTCATCCAAGTATTCAAAACAACTTAATATATAAAATTATTTTTGTTTGTCCAATTATTTTTGAGCTTCTAAAAGTGTCTGTCTATGTATTTTCCTTCCCAAAAAATTATGCAATATGTTGCTTAAATTCCCTGAATTAAAGCTGTTGTCAAATACTTATGGAGCAAAACTGCATGCTGATGCTGTTTTAAGACAGAGGTGATTCTCAAGTCACTGTAGTGTTTTATTCATATTTTATCCCACATTCTCCTTCTTTTCAGAAATTTGATTCTACTCTCAAATTCCAAATTCAGCTTTTGATTAAAAAAAAAAGGACTTGCATCCATCGCATGCACTTCCACTTCCACTCATAATAGGTGAAGGTGATTACTCTTACTACCAGCTTCTTTGATTTGCTAAACATAGCCAAACATATCTTGCCAAGCAACATGAAATTAATATGACAGATTCATTTTAAATGAAACTCTACTTTGGTTCCAATATGGAAGTCGTCCACAGCTCTGGTTCCCATGAACGCCAGTTCCATGTGCGTGTGCGTGTCGATGCCACCGGGGATCACCAGTTTATCGGTGGCATCAATGACTCGCACTCTTTTTGGAATCTGAAGATTCAGTCCAACCTCAACTATTTTCCCATTTTCGATGTAGACGTCGCCGATCACGGAGCAGTCCTCGTTCACAACTTTGCCTCCTTTAATCAGGATGCCGCTGGGCTCTTCCATTCCTGCTCCGCGCAACTCAGAGTGTTAGGACTGCGTAACGACACAA